CCAGGAGGGGTTCTTGAAACAATATGTAGATAGTCCAACTAGGGAAGAGGCCATACAAGACCTTGTATTAGGGAATGAGGCTGGCCAGGTAGTTGAAGTTTAGCTGGAGGAACATTTTGGGAACAGTGATCATAATTCCGAAAGTCTTAGGATAGTAATAGATAAGGATAAGACTGGTCCATGGGTGGAAGTGCTAAACTGGGGGGGAAGGGTAATTATGACAGTATTAGGCAAGAATTAGATTGGGGGGGCAGATGTTCAAGGGTAAATTTCACATTTGATATGTGGGAGTCTTTTAAAAGCATGTTCCTGTGAGGATGTACAATAAGGATGGGAAGCCTGGATGACAAGAGATAAGAAAGGTTAGACAAAAAGGAAAAGGAAGCATAGGTAAGGTTTAGGAAACTGAAAGCAAGCAAGGCCTGTGAGGAGTATAAAGGACGCAGAAAAGAACTTTAAAAATAAAACTAGGTGGGCTGGAAGGGGCCATGTAATATTCTTAGCGAGTAGGATTAAAGAGACTTTCAAGGCATTTTATATGTATATAAGGAGCAAGAGGGTAGCTAGGGGAAGGGTAGGTCCACTCAACAGTAAAGGAGGGAGTTTATGCATGGATCCAGAGGAAATGGGTGAGGTCCTTAATGAGTACTTCACATTGGTATTCACTAAAGACAAGGACATGGATGATGGTAAGATTAGGGAGGGGTAAATAACAAGTGGGACAGAACACCAATGCTTCACTGGAGGCGCACTGATGATGTTTACCGAGCAGGATGACGAAACGTCTGCAATCAAATACAGCGGCTCGGTGAGCTAGTCTACAACCTAGGGAGGGGTATGTTGATATTCTAGGGCATGTTGATATGAAGGAGGAGGAGGTGTTGAGTGTCTTGAAAAACATTAAAGTAGGTAAGTCCCCAGAGCCTGATGGGATCTATCCCAGGATACTGAGGATACGGAGGCAAGGGAGGAGACTGCTGGGACCTTTGAATCTCACTAGCCAAGGCGAGTTCCTGGAACCCTGGAGAATAGCCAACATTGTACCCTTGTTTAAGAAGGAAACTCCAAGAAATTATAGGCTGGTGAGCATTGCAACAGCGATAGAGAAATTATTAAGATTCTTTGGGACAGGATTTACTTGCATTGACTTATTAGGGATAGTTAGCATGGCTTTGTGTCAGGAAGGTCTTGTCTCACTAATTTGATTGAGGTTTTTTGAAGAAGTGACAAAGATGATTAATCAGGGCAGGGCAGTGGATGTTGTCTACATAGATGTCACAGGTAGACGGTGGTGGAGAAGGCATTTGGCATGCTTGCCTTGTCAGAGCATTGAGTATAGGAGTTGGAACGCCATGTTGTGGCTGTAAAGGACATTGATGAGACCATTTCTGGAGTACTGCATAAAGTTCTGGCCGCCCTGCTATAGAAAAGATACTATTAAATTGGAATGATGCAGAAAGGATTTACAAGGATGTTACCAGGACTGGAAGGTTTGAGTTATAAGGAGAGGCTGGATAGGCTGGGGCGTTTTCCATAGACTGTAGGAGGTTGTATAGAGGTTTATAAAATCATGAGGGGCATTGATAAGGTGAATAGCAAAGGTCTTTTCCCTAGGGTAGGGGAATCCAAAACTAGACGGCATAATTTTAAGGTGAGAGGGGAAAGATATAAAAGGGACCTAAGGAGTAACTTTTTCACACAGAGGATGATGCATGTATGGAATGAGCTGCCAAAGGAAGTGATGGAGCTGGGTACAATTAAAACATTTAAAAATCATTTGGACAGATACATGGATAGGAAAGATTTAAAGGAATATGGACTAAACACAGGCAAATAGGACTAATTTAGTTTGAGAAACTTGGTTGGCATGGAAGAGTTGGACCAAAAGATCTGTTTCTCTGCTGCATGACTGTATGACTCTATGATTTTACTAAAGCACTGAAAAAGGTCTTTCATGATAGGCTGGTCCGGAAGATTAAGTCATATGGGATCCACGATGAGTAGGTAAATGGAATAGAAAATTGGTTTGGTCACAGAAGGAAAGAGGGGAGTTGTGGAGGGGTGTTTTTCTGACTGGAGGTCTGTGACCAGTGGTGTTCTGCAAGGATCAGTGCTGGAGACATGTTTTGTTTATAATATATGTATAAATGATGTGGATGAAAAGGCAGGTGATCTGACTAGTAAGTTGCAGACGACACAAAAATTGGTGGAGTTGAGGGTAGTAAGGAAGGTTGTCAAAGGATACAGCAGGATATGGATCAGTTGGAAATTTGGGTGGCGAAATAGCAGATGGAGTTTAATAAGTGTGAGGTGATGTATTTTGGAAGGTCAAATGCAGGAGAAAAATATACAATAAATGGCAGGACCCTTAAGAGCATTGATGCACAGAGGGATATAGAACATAGAACAGTACAGCACAGTACAGGCCCTTCGGCCCACGATGTTGTGCCGACCTATTATCCTACTAAGATCAATCTACCCTGCATACCGTACACTTTACTATCCTCCATGTGCCTATCCAAGAGTCGCTTGTTGGGGTGCAAATCCATACCTCCCTGAACATGGCAACACAAGTGAATACGGTGGTAAACAAGGTGTAAGACATGCCTGCCTTCTTCAGTCGGGGCATTGAGTGTAAACGTTGGCAAGTCATGTTGCAGCTGTATAAAACTTTAGTTAGGCCACATTCGGACAATTGTGTGCAGTTCTGTTTGCCACACTATAGGAAGGGAGTACAGACTTCAGAGTGAGTGCAAGAAAAGGTTTACCAGTATGTTGCCTGGATTGGAATGTATCAGCCATAAGGAGAGATTAGACAAACTTGGATTGTTTTCACGAGAGCATCGGGGGCTGAGGGGCGACCTGATAGAAGTATGTAAAATGATGAAAAGCAGGGATAGGGTGGATGGTTGGAGTACTTTTCCCGAGGTGGAAATGTCAAACACTAGCGGGTATAGGTTTAAGGTGAGAGGGGAATGTTTAAAGGAGGTGTGCGAGGAAAGGTTTTTACACAGACGGTGGTAGGTGCCCATAATGTGCTGCCAGGGGAGGTGGGAGAAGCAGATACAATATCAACATTTAAGAGGTATCCAGACAGACACATGGACAAGCAGAGAACAGAGGGATATAGGCCATGTGGAGGCAGATGGGAATAGTTTAGAATGGCATCATGGTTGGAACAGGCATGGTGGGTCAAAGGTCCTGTTCCTGTGCTGTACTGTTCTAAGTCTAATGTTTCTTTTTCCTATAACCCTTGATTTCCACACCAAATGAAAACATCTATTAAACATATGTTAAGTTCTACTACTTCATTTGGAATTGGCAGCTAGCCTCAGTCATGGTGACTGTGAGACAATTATTTTTCATTAAAACCCCATCTGGCTCACTAATGTCCTTTAGGCAAGGAAATAAGACCATAGGACATAGGAGCAGAAGTTAGGCCATTCAGCCATTCAATCATGTCTGATAAATTTCTTAACCCCCGTTCTCCCACTTTCTCCCAAACCTTGATCCCCTTGACAATTAAGAACCTATCCATCTCCGACTTAAATATACACAATGACCTGGCCTCCACAGCCTTGTGTGGCAGTGAATTCCATAGATTCACCACACTCTGGCTGAAAAAGTTTCTCCTTATCTCCGTTCTAAAAGGTCTTCCCTTTATTCTAAGGCTGTGCCCTCGGGTCCTAGTCTCTCCTACCAATGGAAACACCTTCCCAACATCCACTCTATCCATGCTATTCAGTATTCTGTAAGTTTCAATTAGATCCCCCCTCATCCGTCTAAACTCCATCCAGTATAGACCTAGAATCCTCAAACGTTCCTCATATGTTAAACTTTTCATTCCTGGATCTGCTATCTTTACCCAGTCTGACCTATGTCTGACTCCTGACTCACTCTTAACTGGCTTCTGAAATGCCCTAGTGATCTCATAACCTGTGAAAATATGTTTCAGAGGCTATTCAGCCCATCAAGTGCTATGTCAATTTATAAGCTTGTGGTTGATCTGATTGTGATCTTCACTCTGCAGTGTGTGCCCCTTGTCATCAACACCCTTGTTAATCAGAAATCTATTTAATACCACCTTGATTGTGCTCAACGTTTAAAATAATCCAAATATGGCCTGAAGAGGGAAGAATTTTCTCCTTATCTGCATCCCAAATGGGAAGCCCCCCTATCACAGAATTGTTATGGTGCAGAAGGGGGCTATTCAGCCCATTGTACCTGCACTGGCTCTTCAAACATTCCTTAAAGCCAATCTCCTGCCTTTATCCTATATCCCTGCTCCCCATTTCTATCCAAATAACCATCCAATGTCCCGCTTGAATGCCTCAATAGAACCTGCCTCCCCCACATTTCCAGGCAGTGCATTCCAGACCCTATCTACTCGCTGGGTGAGAAAGATTTGTTTCTCACTTCACATTTGCTTTGTTTGCACATCACTTTACGCCCTCTTGTTCCTGCACCTTTTACAAGTGGAAACCATTTCTCCCCGTCTACTCTGTCCAACCCACTCATTATTTTGTGAACCTCTATTAAATTTCCTCCCAACCATCTTCTCTCCAGGGAGAACAGACCCAACATCTTCAATCTCTGTTCATCACTCAAGTTTCACATCCCTGGAAACATTCTTGTAAACTGCTTCTGCACTCTTTCCAATGATATTGAGACTGTTCTTCTCTGGCTCTAGATAACTTCTAGGATGGGAAATACCCTCTCGCCATCCACTCTGTCAAATCGCCCCCAAGGATCATGTGTGCTTCAGTAAGATCACCTTTCATTCTTCTAAACTTCAATGAGTAAAAGCCTAACCTGTTCACTCTTTCCTTATACAACAAGCCCCTTTGTCCCTGGAATTAGTTGAGTTAACTTCTCTGGAAGAGACAGGTGTGAAGAACAGAATCTATTAATGCTTCTGCAATCTGGACAGAACTGTAATCAGTGGAAAACAAATTGTCCAGCATCATTCTCTCTCGACTTAAAGGAACAAGAGCAGGTACCTTTAACCATTTCCTGTAGTTGTGGGAAGATATGTAGGTGATGGGCCATGTCAGTTGCTAAAATAATGTCACGCATCATGTCCAGCATTTTCTGGTAATCCTGTAGGGAACAATGAATAAAGGGTGAGTTTAACACTGAAACCTCTGTGGTATAGAAACACTGGCAGAAGGACCATATCAGAAATACTGGAGGCTTATAGCTTGGGTTCTGCTCTCAGGACTGAGGAAGAGCTATATTATACTGAAATGTTAACTGTTTTTCTCTCCACAGATGCTGCCAGACCTGCTGAGTTTCACCAGCATTGTTGATGTTTGTTTCAGATTGCCAGTGTCTGCAGTATTTTGCTTTTATTCTCCTTTACAGTCCCATATCATCATCCTGGGGGTTACCATTGACCAGAAACTCAACTGGACTCCACATAGACACTGTGGTTACAAAAGCAGGTCAGAAGCTAGGAATACTGGAGCGAGTAACTCACCTCCTGACTCCTCAAAGCCTGTCCACCATCTACAAGGTACAAGTCAGGAGTGTGATGGAATACTCCCCACTTGCCTGGATGGGTGCAGCCCCAACAACACTCAAGAAGCTTGACACCATCCAGGACAAAGCAGCTGCTTGATTGGCACCACATCCACATCCACAAGCATCCACTCCCTCCATCACCGACGCTCAGTACCACCTACAAAAAGCACTGTAGACCTTCACCAAGGCTCCTCAGACAGCACCTACCAAACCCATGACGACCACTTCCATCTAGAAGGACAAGAACAGCAGGTACATGGGAATATCACCCCTTACAAGTTCCCCTCCAAGCCACTCACCATCCTGACTTGGAAATATATCACTGTTCCTTCACTGTCGCTGGGTCAGAATCCTGGAATTCCCTCCGTAAGGGCCTTGTGGGTCAACCCACAGCACACGGACTGCAGTGGGTCAGGAAGGCAGCTCCCCACTACCTTCTGACATTTCACCCACACCCCTGGAGTTAATTAAAATAAAAATTGGGTGCTTCTTTGATAACTGTGGCACTCCCTAAGAGTGACTGTAATGTGACTCTAGCAAGTTTCTGTAACACTCTATTTATTGACTCTACTGTGCATCCCCTACAGCCAAGGATTCCCCCACCTTGATACTGACAGTTACTTTTCTCTTAATTGAGTTTAGCAGATGACTGCTGTTATCTCATTATTATACACATCACCATTTTATAATGCTACATCTCCCCCCAGGGAGAGTTTATTCTTAATGTTATAGTAAGACATAGGAGCAGAATCTGCTCTGCAATTCAATGAGATTGTGGCTAAACTAATAATCCTCAACTCCACTTTCCTGCCTTTTCCCCATGACCCTTGAATCCCCTTAATGATTAAAAATCTTTGTAATCTCAGTCTTCACAGACACAGCCTCAACAGCCCTCTGTGGTAAAGAATTCCACAGCTTTGCTCCCCTCTGAGAGAAAACATTCCTCCTCATCTCTGTCTTAACTGGTTGACTCCTTATTCTGAGATGATTCCCTCTGGTCCTAGACTCTCCCACAATGGGAACAACATTTCAGCATCTACACTGTCAAGTCCCCTAAAAGTCTTATATGTTTCAATGTTTCTATACCTCTTGTTCTTCTAAATTCCAATGAGTACAGGCCCAACCTACTCAAACTCTTCTGATAAGACAGTCCCTCCATACCTGGTATCAGCCTGTGAACCTTCTCCTGACTCCCTCCAATGCCAGTCTATCTTTCCTTTCATAAGGGGCTCAAAACCATTCACAGTATTCCAGCTGTGGTCACACTAGTGTCTTGTACAGTTTGAACAAAACCTCCCTTTTGTTAAACTTCATTCCCTTTGAAATAAAGGCCAACATTCCACTGCCTTCCTTGCTACCCACGGAACTAGTTTTTTTTATGATTTATGGATAAGAAGCCCCAAATACCTTCAGAGCAAACACATGGGCTTTCCACACTTTCAATATCAAGTTGGTTTCTGGCCAATCTTCATACTAGCTTAATGTTGCACCCTGCAATCTCTAGACTCACAGGCGCATCATTGACCCATCGTACATGTTTCATAAAACATGTGCCATAAAACATTTATTGTCTAGCATCACCAACATAGACTTAGGGTGAGAGGTAGAAAGCTAAGAGGAGAGATAGGGAGAAATGTTTTCACTTAGAGGGCAGTGGGACTGAAAGGTTGATTGAGACAGAAACTCTCGCACCTTTTGAGCAGTATTTAGATATTCACTTGCATTGTCATGGCCTCCAGGGCTATGGGCCAACAGCTGGAAAATGGGATCAGTGTAATCAGACCTTTGTTGACCACTATGGACACAATGGGCCGAATGTCCTCCTTCTGTGCTGTAAACGTACTTTCACTTCACATACTGAACTGTTAACTCTCAGCTCCACTCAGACTGCAAACACTCATGCCAAATGCACATATAAGCAAGGCTGAACAGTCCTATCACCAAAACACACAAACTGAACAATCAAACTAAAATTACAAGCTAAATCTTACTGTTTTTGGCTCAATTCAAGTTGGATCAAGATTTTTGGAGCTTTTTTTTGCCATGAGGGTGAGTAAATTCCTTTGCTCCATCTTAACCAATAATGTCTTGTTAATTACCAACCTGACCCAATAACAGGGAGCTCTTTGAAGATGTAATGAGTAATGTGGATAATGGGGATTCTGTAGATACAGTATATCTGGACTTCCAGAAGGCATTTGATAAGGTGCCACAGAAAAAGATATTATGTGGGACACTGGGCTCAGGGACAAAATGGATGGTGAGATATGGGGAAGACTGGGATATGACTGCTTTAAAAACAGAAGTTGCTGGAAAAGCTCAGCAGGTCTGGCAGCATCTGCAAAGCAAAAAATCAGAGTTAAGCTTGACCCGTCCTCAGAACCGGACCCGAAACTTTAACTCTGATTTTTTCTTCACAGATGCTGCCAGACCTGCTGAGCTTTTCCAGCAACTTCTGTTTTTGTTCCTGATTTACAGCATCTGCGGTTTTTGTATGACTGGTTCAGCTCAGGATTATGTTCGGCATGGATTGGTTGGACTGAAGGGTCTGTTTCCGTGCTGTATGACTCTATGAGGAACATTGCACTATGGGGTACACTACCATCTCTGGGGTATATTAGGTTAAGAGTGGAACGCAGTCCACAAAGTGAAACAGATCAGAATAAAATTGTATGAAGTGCCAAATGCATCATCCCATTAATGGCCTACAAAACCATAAAGTGTCCACTTCTCCCCGCCACCCAAACACCCACCCAGCAGAGAAGATCTCCTTTACCCTCCCACCTGCATTCATACATGTTCCAGTTGATCCATAATCCACCCATCTCCCCCAACACTGTGAGCTCACACATTTACCTTCCGAGAGAAGGTTTCAAAGATGTTGCACCCTTCAGAATTCAAGATGGCGATGGCTTGTGCAAAGTGGTGTCTCTGCAAGAGAGGAAGGAGACAATTAGAATCTGTCAGTGATTTGGCTTCACCTTTGCATTCAGAGCCTGCACAGGACTCAGACAATCCTCACAATCCCATTAACCTTGCTTCGACACTGAACCCAATCAATCGCCCTACCCCACCCCCAACAAAACCCCTGACACCACCCCATTCACTACCATTAAACCCCGAACACAGACCTGAGCCACTCCTGCCTCTAGTGCACCCTCCACTGCCATTTCTACAGCTACTCAATGCTCCAATTCTCCTTGTCAGCTGTGAGCCAATGGTGTTGCCTCAGAGTCAAAAGTTTATGGGCTCAAGTCCCACTCTAGAGTGTTTTACAATGTCACGAGGACAACAAACAAGGGAGAACCAGTGGATGGAATGTATTTTGTAAAGTCCATGTCATTTTACTTTTGTGTTTTTTTTTTAAATTGTACACCGAAATGAGAAGGAACTGTTTTAAATACAAAGTTGGGCTGCATGTTTGAACGTAAGGAGTATGATCCTGTTTCTGATCCATGTTTGCGTAGCTGTGGGGTCTAGCAACACACAGATGAACTGGAGGATAGAACTGTTTACAAATGAAGCTGATTGGTCTGTTAACTACAGGCTACCAATCAATGATTTAGTTCCCCTGCCTGCCAACAACTATGTGATTGGTTGCCAGTAGCTGAAAAACTTCAGGATGTGAACTTGTCAGGCCAGGAGAGAAATAAGCACGTATGCAGCAGCAAAAAAAATAGTACATAAAAAATAGGAGCAGGAGTAGACCATCTGGCCCATTGAACCTGCTCCGCCATTTAATAAGATCATGGCTGATCTTTTCATGGACTCAGCTCCACTTACCCACCCGCTCACCATAAACCTTAATTCCTTTACTTTTCAAAATCTGTCTATCTTTGCCTTAAAAACATTTAACAAGTTAGCCTTGACTGCTTCACTGGGCAGGGAATTCCACAGATTCACAACCCTTTGGGTGAAGACGTTCCTCCTCAACTCAGTCCTAAACCTGCTGCTGCTTACCTTGAGGCTATGCCCCCGGTTCTAATTTCACACACCAACAGAAACATCCTTCTGCTTTTATCTTATCTATTCCCTTCATAATTGTATATGTTTCTATAAAATCCCCCTGTCATTCTTCTAAATTCCAATAAGGCCCAGTCTACTCAATCTCTCCTCATTAGGTAAGCTTCTCAATTCTAGAACCAACCTGGTGAACCTCCTCTGCAGTCCCTCCAGTGCCAGTCCATCCTTTCTCAAGTAAGGAGACCAAAACTACGCAGTACTCGAGGTGTGGCCTCACCAGCACCCTATACAGCTGCAGAATAACCTCCCTGTTTTTGAACTCCATCCTTCTACCAATGAAGGACAATATTCCATTTGCCTTCTTAATTACCCGTTGCATCTGCAAGCCAACATTTTGTGATACATGGGCAGACTCTCTTTCTCTCTCTCAGTTCCCTGCAGTATACCACTTTAAACCTGAAGAAAACCAGCTTATCTTTTCCTCAGAGATGGGCCAAGTTGTTACATTGAACTGGATAAGTCAGAAATTTTTTATCAGTGAATCAACCTCTCGCAAACAAGCATTTGGAAAAGGAAGCTTGAGGAAAAACCTTTGGAAAAACTTTGAGAAGCCTTGCCCTTTAGGGACGGGCAATAAAATGCTCACCAGTCGGTGGCACACATTTCCCAGAAACGAATAAAACGAAGCCAGCAAGAACCGACCCAACAGATCGGGTGAACAAAGACTGCCAAACTGTTTCCTCAGTTTTCCCTCCATACACATGCTGCTTCTTTCCTGTTTATGTTTGTGTGTGTCTCTGTGTGTGTGTGTGTGTGTGTGTGAGAGTGTGTGTGTCTGTGCATGTGTGTCTCTGTGTGTGTGTGTGTGTGTGTGTGTGTGCGCGTCTGTGTGTGTGTGTGTTTCTGTGTGTCTGTGTGTGTGTGTGAGTGTGTCTGTATGTCTGTGTGTGTGTGTCTGTATGTCTGTGTGTGTGTGTGTGTGTGTGTCTGTGTGTGTCTGTGTGTGTCTGTGTGTCTGTGTGTGTCTGTGTGGGAGTGTGTCCGTGGGAGCGTGTGTCTCTGCATGGGAGTGTGTTTGTGTGTGTCTGTGTGTGTGTTTGTGAGATTGTGTGTTTGTGAGAGTGTCTGTGTGTCTATGTGAGACTGTGTGTGAGTGTGTGTGTGTGTGTGTCTGTGTCTGTGTGTGTGTGTGTGTGTCTGTGTGGGAGTGTGTGTCCATGGGAGTGTGTGTATCTGCATGAGAGTGTGTTTGTGTGTGTCTGTGTGTGTGTTTGTGAGATTGTGTGTTCGTGAGTGTGTGTGTGTCCATGTGAGAGTGTGTGTGTGTGTGCGTGAGGGGCAGTTTATAGTTGGTGTAGAGATTTAATTTGTAGAGTTTAGTTAATTTAACAATGTTTTACCTGCAGCCAGAATCTAATGACCCTGCAGTAAGTAGTGATTCTTGTAAAGTACAGAAATATGGTCTGTGCTTTTTTTTTTAATCAACTCCTGTCCGAACATCATGTAGTTTGGAGATTTTATGCATTTCTTTTAAAAACATTAACTTTTGTGACAACTCCAGGAATAGCAAGAGTTGATTTCCAGTACACTACCCCAGTAGGTCAAGACTATTTGGATTTCCAGAAAGCTTTTGATAAAGTCCGACGTATGAAGTTCATAGGCAAGACTGAAGCACGTAGGATGGTGGTAATATACTGACATCGATTGAGAAAGGTTAGCAGGGAGGAAATAGAGAGTGGGAATAAACGGGTCATTTTAAGAGTGGACAGGTCAGTGCTTGGACCCCCAAATATTCACAATAAATCCCAACAATTTGGTTTAGAGTATTCCCACGCTTGATGATAACAGAAAACGAGGTCGGGGTGTGAGTGGTGAGGAGGACGTCAAGAGGCTTCATGATGGTTTAGACAAGTTGAGTGAGTGGGCTAATGCACGGGAGATGCACTAAAATAAAATGTGAAAATGTCCACTTTGGTTGCATAAACAAACAGGCAGGTTTTTATTTAAATGGCGATAGATTGGGGAACGTTGATGTACAAAGGGATCCGAGTGTCCTCATACCCCAGGCACTCGTAGAATCTTACAGTAGAGAAGAGGCCTTTCAGCCCATCAAATCTGTACTATCAAAAATTTGCTACTACCTACACCAGTCCCACATTCCTGCAGTAAACCCATAGCTTTGACTGTTACAACATTTCAAATGCTCAACCAAGTGCTCAGGCCAGGAGAGAAATGAGCAGGTCTGCAACAAGAAAAGACTCTGAGGAAGGGTCACTGGACCTGAAATGTTAACTCTGATGTTTTTCTTCACAGATGCTGCCAGACCTGCTGAGCTTTTTCAGCAACTTCTGTTTCTGTTCCTGATTTACAGCATCCGCAGTTCTTTCGGTTTTAATTAAGAAAAGACTCTCTCTTAGTTCTCTGCAGTAAACCACTTTAAACCTGAAGAAAACCAGCCTTATCTTTTCCCACCTCAACTACTCCCAGACAGTGCATTGCAGACTCCCACCACCCCCAGGTGAAAAAGGTTTTCCTCAAGTTCCCTCCCTCTCACAACCACCTCCAAACCCCCATATGCGGGGAAGTTCAGCTGGAAATGTCCAACAAGTTTGTCCAGACAAAGCCCCAGAATGGCAGGTAATTCTAACTGAAGAGCTGTTGGGTTTCCACTCAATGGCAAATATTCTTTAACTGGGTCAAATTTAGCAGGAATCCCATGGGAGCCAGTTGGGATTTGATTGGCAATTGTTTCTATGAGAAGACACAGCTATCAAATGTGCAATCTTGAGTTGATGAGTTGAAATCAAAATGCTGAGGATGCTGGAAATCTGAAATAAAAAATAGAAAGTGTTGGAAAAGCCCTGGGGTGGTGGGGGGTGTGGGAAGTGGTGTCTGTGAAGAGAGAAGAGAGAAGTTCTGAGGAAGGGTCATTAGACCCGAAACGTTAACTCTGTTTTCTCCTTCACAGATGCTGCCAGACCTGCTGAGCTTTTCCAGCAACTTTGTTTTTGTTCCTGATTTACAGCATCCGCAGTTCTTTCGGTTTTTATTAAGAGAGAAGCCGAGTCTATGCTTCGGGTCCAGTATGACTCTTCTTCAAACCTGAAACGGGCTGGAAAACAATGTCCTTTTTACTTTTCTGAAGAAGGGTCTAGGCCCGAAACATCAGCCTTCCTGCTCCTCTGATGCTGCTTGGCCTGCTGTGTTCATCCAGCTCTACACCTTGTTATGTCTCTTCTTTTTACACTATTGACAGATGGGGGCAGGAGCAAGTGGAACAGATTGTGCAGGAGCAAAAACAGAAGTTGCTGGAAAAGCTCAGCAGGTCTGGCAGCATCTGTGAAGAAAAACATCAGAGTTAACGTTTCGGGTCCGGTGACCCTTCCTCAGAACTCTGGGCCCAGAGTAAAGGGCACAGGGAGTGATAATGTTAGTAGAGGAGCGATATATAGATGAAGAATAGGTGTTAATGGTAGGTGTTAATAATGGAAAATAGATCAGCTCTGTTGAGAGTGAACAAGATACTGGGAGGTGGGAGGGAGGCATTTGTGTACAGCAAGCTCCCACAAACAGTGAAGTGATAACAACCAGACAAGCTTTTCATATTCTATGACGTGTCACTCTAGCCTCATCACAAGGTTCGGGGTCATATTGAACTTTAGGGCTAGAGCACCAAAACCAAGGCTGACCCTCTAATGCAAGACTGATGAACTGCTGCTCTGCTGGAGGGGTCAACTTTTGGATGATGGTATCCAAATTGAGGACAGCATTCATCATTTGAAGTTTGGAATCTAGTGCAACCATTGGTCTATTCCCGAGATCAACGAGATCTAGTAGGCCTTACATATTCGGTGAACGTGGGCATACCTCTTCATTGAGACCAGAGGTAAAGATGAAATGGAGTCACATACCTCCATGACTGATCCTTCAGAACTGTACAGTGCAGCCAACACAGATTTCTGTAAATACAAGAGAAGATTCATGTCATTACAAAGGACTTGTCTCTTCCATATAGACAGGATCAGAGACAGCAGAACAATCAGCTTCATTAACACTTAAGCCCATAAGGTATAGGAGCAGAAGTAGGCCATTCAGCCCATCGAGTCTGCTCTGCAATGAGATCGTTGCTCAACATCACTCTCCTGTCTTTTCCCCATCACCCTCAATTCCTTTCCTGTTTAAAAATCTGTCTCTCTGACCCTCAAGTATACTGAATGACCCAGCCTTGACAGCCCTCTTAAAGAAACTTCAGTGAAACATCTCGAGATGCATTTATATAGCAGCTTTCATATCAATGCATTAGAGGCAGTTCAGGGTAAGTTCACCTGACTGATACCTGGGATGTCAGGGTTAGCTTATGTGGAAAGGTTGAGCCTACACCCATTGGGAAGTAGAAAAAATTGCAGAAGTCACCATAGTTCTATTGGACCATAGACTGCTCTCTCTCATTACAGAGACAGGCAACTGGTGGTGGTTTAACCTGAGGGTCTCCATGCCTCAGGTGAGGGGAGAGGTTGAGAAGGAGAGTCCTTCATTGGTAACCTCAGACCAGTACAGGTATTGAACCCATGCTGTTGGCACCACTCTGGTAACGCAAACCAGGTATCCAGCCAACTGAACCGACCAAGACCTAAAAAGAACAGGAGGTAATCTGACTGAAGCATTTAAGATCCTGAGGAGATATGGCAGAATGGATGCTGAGATGTTTCCTATTGTGAGGGTTTCTATAAACAGGAGACATAGCTTAAAAATAAGGGACGCCCCTTTTAAGATGGCGATGATGAGAATTTTTGTTCTCTCAGACAGGGTTATGTTTCTGAGGAACTCTCTCGCCCAGAGGCAGGGATATTGAATATTTTTAAGGCAGAGGTGAATAGATTCTTGATGGACGAAGGAATCGAAGGGTAACTGGGGTTTAGCAAGGATATACAGTTACGGGCACAATCAGGTTAACCATGATCCTATTGAATGGTGAGACCATGTAGTGGGGCTGAATGGATCACTCCTGATTCATATGTTCATGGATCGCTGGGCATCTCAAAGTGCTTCACAGCCAATGAAGTCCTTTTTATTAACGTGTTGTCACTCTTATAGTGTGGGATACGGGGCAAGCTCCCACAAACAGCCACGTGATAGCAACCAGATAATCTGTTTAATGTTCCACACTGCAGACTTTCACCTCATCATGAGGTTCTGGGGTCAGATCCCACTCCAGGCCCACAGACCCAAATCCAAGGCTGACACTCCACTGCAGGACCGAGGGAGTGCTGCTCTGCCGGAGGTGCTATCTTTTGGGCTCCTTCTCCATTGGGCCTGCAGAAGCCCACTGCACTATTTCAGAGTCCTCCTCAGTGTCCTGGCCATTCGTTATCTCTCAAAGGACATCACAGGGAAACAGATTATCTGGTCGTTATTACTTTGCTGTTTGTGGGATCTTGCTGTGCATCAATTGGTTTCCGCAACTCCTCCGCAAGTGATTCAGCCTCAAAAGGACTTAGAAATGAGGATCCGGAGTGGACCATTCAGTCCTTCAAGCCTGCTCCGTCATTCAATATAATCATAGCACCACTTTCTCCCCATACCCCTTGATGCCTTTAAATATATAAAAATGCACCTCTCTCTTTGCTTAATACATTCAGTGACCTGGTCTCCACAGCTTTCTGTGGGAGAGAATTCCACAGGTTCACTACCCTCTGAATGAAAAATATGTTTCTCCATTTCAGTCCCAAATGGTCTACCCCATATCCTGAGACTGTGACCCCTAGTCCGACACTCCCCACCCAGGGGAAATATCCTCACAGCATCTTATTTTTTGCTGCCCTGTTAGAATATACCTTTCTCCCCACCTTGCCTTCTAAACTCTAGTGAAAACATTTTAAAAATGCATTCACACAGTGAGGGTGTCATTGGCTGGGTTAGGGTTAGCCAGAGGGTCACCATGCCTCATGGGGAGGGGGGAGGCCAGTCAACAATTTTCTGTTTGACCACATTACCACAGGTCTGGAGTCACATGTAGGCCTGACCAGGTAAAGACAGCACAGCTCCCTTCCTAAAGGACATGAGTGAAACTAATTCCTCATGCTGTGGTGGCTTTCAAACCCCACCCGAGAATATTCGCTGGGTTAATAGGCTAGGGATAACACCACTAGGCCATCACCTCCTGCTGAGTTTTCAATACTCCACTGGCTGTGAGGTGGTAAGTGAAGTCTGGTGTTCAGGAAAGTTGCTGCAGATCTACACAATCTGTCCATGCCGCTATCAAACCAGGCTGCATGGCCAGTTTCCCTAACGACATTCCGAAATTGGAGGGGGCTGCCTACAGGCTACAGGTATGTTGGGGATATGCAGTATCGCACCCCGACCCATCCCGTTTCCCCCCCCCCCCCGCTCCAAGGCAGTTCAGATACGCTACAAGAACCCTCCACCCTCTCCCCAGCACAGGCCCCAGGCCGCAGCACTTACTGATGCCACTTGAAATGAGTTTGTTGTCCCTCGATGGTCCAGGTCATGACACATACACGACACAAACAAAGCCAAAATCTCCATGTCCCTGCCAATCCAGACATGAAAAAAAACACATAACATGTCAGTCCCACTTGTGGAATCAGCTCCGCTCTCCCCAGAGTGAGCAAGCTGTAGTGTCAGAGATATCCCTTTGTTGGTTTGTGTTTGAAGGAGAGTTGTTAGCTCTGTTCAAATTTTACAACCACACAGCATTACCACAACAGGTTTTCCAAAACAAAGCAGCCTTTTTCAATCCCGATTTTCAGAATCCCAATACTTAAACCTTATCCCATTCATTCCCACTGTGTAGATTCCCAATAAACCCAACACCTTCCCTTACATTCCCATTGTATACATTCTGAATGAAGTAAACCCTACCTTAATCACTCCCACTCAATCCTAAAGGAACAAACTTTATCCAATCACTCCCACTGAATCCCAATGGAACAAACCCTTTCCCATTCACTCCCACTGAATCCCAATGGAACAAACCCTTTCCCATTCACTCCCACTCAATCCCAATGGAGCAAACTCTTTCCCATTTACTCCCACTCATTCCCAGTGGAACAAGCCCATTTGTATTCATTCCCACTGAATCCCAATGGAACAAACCCTTTCCTATTTATTCCCACTCAATCCCAATAGATCAAACCCTTTTCCATCCACTCCCACTGAATCCCAATGAAACAAACCCTTTCCCATTTCTGAAGAAGGGTCTAGGCCCAAAACGTCAGCCTTCCTGCTCCTCTGATGCTGCTTGGCCTGTGTTCATCCAGCTCTACACCTTGTTATCTCAGATTCTCCAGCATCTGCAGTTCATACTATCTCTTTCCCATTTACTCCCATTTAATCTAACAGATGAAACAATTCCCAATCACTAATCCCACTGGGAAAATCTGAATCTCAATGAACAAATCCGTTCACAATCATTTCTGTCGAACAGAATCCCAGTGGGCCTTACACACTCCACTATATAAAATCCAAATCTTTTCCTATTGATTCGTAATCCATAGAATTCCAGAGACTCAAACCCTATTCCTCTTCCTCCTCATTGTGAAGGTTTAATTTCTATGTAACCTCATTTTCTTTCTCTCTCCACCCAGTTTATTTATCTCTCTGATCACTTTCTATTTCCCAGACTGGTGTTAGGACAAGGATCAAAGGACTGTACGCATCAGCTGCATGTGCCCTGCTTAGAGGACTCCGAGAGTCACTGTGTTCATTTCTGGGCTCTATACCCCAGGAAGGAAACACTGACCTTGGACAGTGTGCTGCACAAATCAACTTGAATGATCCCAGGAGTGCAAGGAGTAAATTATAAGGCTTGGTGCACACAAACTAGGATTGTATTTCCTGGAATATAGAAGGTTAAGGGGTAATTTGGTCAAGGATTTCAAAGCTCACAGAAAAAAAAATGGAACGGGCTTGATGGGCTGAATGGCTTCGTTTTGTAATGTAGGGATTCTATGGGATAAATGCTGAATTCCTCAACTCTGGGATACAAACAGAAGCCCCTCAGTCATGCTTTATCACCCACCAAGATCATGGCTGATCTGATTACTCCGTACACTCACCTACCCCCACCTCCAATACGCCAGCTCAGTCCGGGAACAGGAGCACAGACTGAGGATGGACAATGTCGAGGTTTAACCAGGCAACACTGAGGCAGTGAAAACATTCAGCAACAAAGACCTTTCACTCAAAACTCCAGAGAATTTTAACTCTCATCTCTCGTCTGTTGCACAGGTTTGTATTAGCAGATGGGCTCCTGGTGACTTACTGTCCTTGACTGAACCACTGGAGGGAGCCAGAGACCAGTTTCTGGTCCTCCCTCAGTTTCTCCTCTCAATGCCCATCATTCTCTCCCTCTTCATCTTGCTGTCTTCTCTCTCTCACAGCTTCCTCTCTCTTTCTTCATGGCTCTGCTTCCTACCTCTCCTCCAGGTTCCTATCTCTTTCCTTTTGAACCTTAGCTTGTCACCCTCCTAATCTTCTCCTCCCATTTTCGGTCTCCCCTTCTCCCAACATGGATTTCCTTCTCTCTCTCCTCCCTCCCTTCATTTCTCTCCCATCTTCCCCACATCCTCACATCCTTATTCCCTCCCACCGTCCCTCCATCATTCTCACCCTCCCTCCACCATTCTCACCCTCCCATCCTCCTCACCTTCCCTCTTAATCTCTCCCACCATCTCATTCCCTGCTCCCTCCATGCTCCCATGTCTCGTTTCTTCCCCTCCCTCCCTTTCCGTCTCCCTCTGTCCCTGGGGGCTGACCCCTAGCGCCCTCCCTCCACGACTCCCATGCCCCCTGTACTTACTGTAAGTAGTCGTGAAGTGCTAGGTTTTTGAAGAGAAGGTAACAGAAGTGAGTGACAGAGAAGGCATGCATCCAGTTGTGATAGGGAGGGTCTCTGTATCCCCGTCGAACCATCATGCAGAACCTGCCAAGACACAATCAAACAGCATTCTCAGCGCTCATGGCATGGTGGCTCAGTGGTTAGCACTGCTGCCTTACAGCGCCAGGGACCCGGGTTCAATCCCACCCTCGGGTGACTGTCTGTGTGGAGTTTGCACATTCTCCCCGGGTTTCCTCCGGTAGCCCAAAGGTGTGCAGGTTAGGTGGATTGGCCACAGGAAGTGCACTGGGATAGAGTAGGGGGATGAGTTTGGGTGGGATGCTCCTCAGAGAGCTGATGTGGGCTTGATGGGCCGAATGGCCTGTTTCCATACTGTAGGGATTCTAACATTTCTGGAACATTCTTCCACCAACAGGGCCCCAACCCCCAAGAATTATGTGCTGGGGGTGGAGAGGATTTTAGGAACTCCGGCGCATGGGGGAATTGACAGGACACTATGATTGGATTGCAGGAACATAGAACATAGAAGCAGGCCATTTGGCCTCTTGAGCCTGTTCTGCACCGTGGCCGATACCCTTCCCTTACCAAGAATTTATCAACCCCTGTCCTTAAAAATATTCAAAAATATTCTGCTGCCACCCGCTCTGCAGGAAGGAAGTTCCACAGACAGAGATAATTTCTCCTCGTCTCTATTTCAAATGGGCGACATCTTAATTTTAAACACAGAGGGTGGTCATTTAGCCGGCTATGTCTGTACTGGCCCTGCTATAAACACGTGCTATTATAACCTCATTGTCCCAGCTTTCTCACTGTTAACGAGGCACGTGAATCCCAATCTACTCCAGGGTCCAACTGCGATTGAAAGTTGGTGAGGAATCAAAGTCTATCTCCCTCTCTGATAGTGAGGAGCTGGCCCATCCTCCCTCCCTCAGAGGGTGGTGAACCTTTGGACGCCCCCAGGGTTGTGGTGCTCCACAAGTAACTTGCCCCTTGGGCAGCTTGTCATTGTTGAAATCACCATTGTCAGCCTCTGTTACATCCACCCCTCTCGCATTGTGGCTGATGACAGTCTCCCTCCTGCTCTGTACGCCTCACCATCTCTGCTCCGGTCTTTAATGATTTACAGGATCTCTAAGGTTTTGGAGTAGATCTGTAGCTCGGGTTGTGGGTGTTGAGGTTGGTTGGCTCGCCGAGCTGGTTTGTTGTTCCGCAGACGTTTCGTTACCGTGCTTGGTAACATCCTCAGTGCAGCCTCCGATGAAGCGCCGGTGTGTTTTCCCACCTGGTTTTTAAACTCTGGGGTCCGTTGAGCTGGATTGCCCCACTTCCTGTTTTCCTCTGTAGTGGAGTGTATATGGGGTCGAGTTCTATGCATTTGTTGGTGGCTTTCTTCGTGGAGTACCAGGCTTCTAGGAATTCCCGTGCCTGTCTCTGATTTACAGGGATGATGGAGGTGCCGGTGTTAGACTGGGATGGACAAAGTCAGAAATCACACGGCACCAGGTTAATAGTCCAACGGGTTTGTTTGAAACCTCAAGCTTCGTGTGATTTCTGACTTTGATGATTTAAGGAGGGAAGTGAAAACTGTTTGGGGGGTGTAGAGGATTCAATGTTGCTCCCTCACACTGGGGTACAGGAGAAGGCAGAGGATTCTATCCCAGTAATCCACTGAAACAGAATGTTTACCCTTACCTCTGAGACTGTAAGAAATAGGAACAGGAGCCATTCGGCCCATTAAACTTACACAACCACTTTCCCGCCTGCTCCCTAAGTCACTTTTGTGGAAACCTAGATGTATTACTCTTGATTTATTCGTCTTCAATTGTGAACAGTCGAGACTCCAGCAGTAAGTGTCCTGCAGCACCTCAACAGTCACAGGCTGCCAACGTAGAAATATGCCCTGTTTTTGCCCACTCCCTGCTTCCTGGCTGTGCCTACATCCATGCTATTATATCACCTCCAACTCCACGAGCCCCAAAAATAAAGCAAAGAACTGTGGCTTGCTAGACAACAAGGTGCAGGGCTGGATGAACACAGCAGGCCAAGCAGCATCATAGGAGCAGAGAGGCTGACGTTTCGGGCCTAGACCCTTCATCAGAAAAGCTTGCTGGAGATTTGAAACAAAAACAGAAATTGCTGGTGAAACGCAGCAGGTATGGCAGCATCTGAGTTATGTGTTTTTCCAGCAATTTCTGTTTTTATCCCTTCAATAACGTGGCACCTGGTTGAATGCCTTTTGGAAATTCGGGTTTACTGCATCTACTTGTTCCCCCTTATCTATCCTAATCCTCACAATAATCCAATAAATTTATCAATCCACGTTGACTCTCTCTGATCATATGCAGATCACAATCCTCCTTCCTGGTTTTGCAGCCAAAGTGGATAATCTCACATTTATCCACACATTTATACACTTAACAAAAGAGGCAGAAGCAGCAATGATAATAATGGTTCTGGAATGTTCTCATTGCAGTCTGGAAGAGGAGGACACTGTCACAGCCGGGAGAGGAATCCTACCTTGTTAAAGTTGGCACGTCTATCTTGTAGGTGGCTATGAATTTCATATCCTCTGCCATACTCAGTATCGCCTGGAACCAGGAAGAGAAAAGATGTGGATTAACAACCAACAACATCACCAGGATGGAGTAGGCCGCTGACCACCAGGCATATGCTCAAGACAAGCATCAATACTTTACACGGTAGCCGAGATGAGGAAATTGCAAGGAATTCCCTGGATTAGTGAGTGGAGAGAATGCAGGTATCACAGTCACGTCAGTGAGTTAAGGTGAGCAGCAGAGATGGATTTCATACAGTAGACAGTTTTGGATCCCTTAGCTATAGAATGATACACTGGCATTGGAGGCAGTCCAGAGAATGTTGGGCTTTATTTCAAAGGGAGTGAAGTATAAAAGTAAGGAGATCTTGTTAAAACTGTGCAAGGCACTAGTCAGACCACAGTGGGAATACTGTGAATAGTTCTGGGTCCCTTATCTAAGGAAAGAGACACCAGCATTGGAGACGGTCCAGAGAAGGTTCGCTCGGCTGATACCAGGTGTGTGTGTCTGTGAGAGTGCGTGTGTGTGTGTGTCTGTGAGTGCGTGTGTGTGTGTCTGTGAGAGTGCGTGTATGTGTCTGTGAGATTGTGTGTGTGCGCGTGTGTGTCTGTATGTATGTGTGTGTCTGTGTGTGTGTGTCTGTGAGAGTGTGCGTGTGTGTCTGTGAGTGCGTGTGTGTGTGTGTGTGTCTTTGAGTATGTGTGTGTGTGTCTTTGAGTGCGTGTGTGTGTGTGTCTGTGAGAGAGTGTGTGTGCGCGTGTGCACGTCTGTATGTATGTGTGTGTATGTGAGCGTGTTTGTGCGTGTGTGTGTGTCCATGCGTGTGCACGTGTCTGTGTGTGTATGCGTCTGTGAGTGTGCGTGCACGCGCGTGTGTGTGTGTGTGTGTGTGTGTGTGTGTGTGTGTGTGTGTGTGTGTGTGTGTGTGTGTCTCTGTGTGTTCGCATGTGTGTGCGCTCATGCATGTATGTATGGACATGTATGCATACATGTGTATGTGACACCAAATCAATGATTTAATTGGTTGGTAAATTTGTATTTAAATCAATATGAACTAAATTAATCTATAAAATTGGGTTTCTCAGTCTTTGGCTATAAGTTTATTTTAATACATACTGTGGGATGACTGACAGACAACGACTCCTCCCACCTTAGGCATGATGAGATTAATCTGTAAATGGATAATCTGGGATCATGCTGTAAAATTAGCAATGTGAATGTGGGTTGAGGTTCATGCAGTTATTTCATTACCGGTGAATTTCATTCACACGTTCAGAAATTTAGAATCGATCCCCATGAACAGGGTAAATGCTGAGAGGATGTTTCCCCTCATGGGAGAGACTAGGACCAGAGGGCATAGTCTCAGAATAAAGGAGCAGCAATTTAAGACTGAGATGAGGAGGAATTTCTTCTCTCAGAGGGTTATGGGTCTTTGGAACTCCTTGCCACAGAGAGCTGTGGGGGCAGAGTCCTTGTGTATATTTAAGGCTGAGACAGATTCTTGATTAGTCGGGAATGAAGGGGGACAGGGAAAGGGCAGGAAAGTGGATGTGAGGAGTGTCAGATCAGCTGTGCTCCTGTTGAATGGTGGAGCCAGCTTGAGGGGCCGAATGGCCTTCTCCTCTTCCTATTTCTTGTGGCATTAAGATCTGTGCCCCGTAACCCTTGACCCTTATCAATCATTAATCTCGCTAAATCAGTCTTGACGTTCTTCCAATGACCCAGCCTCCAGTGGTTCTTTGGCAAATAAATTCCACAGAGCTGCTGTGGGGAGGATTCTCTTCTCACTTCTATTTGACATGGGGCAGCACAGTGGCTCAGTGGTTAGCACTGCTACCTCACAGCACCAGGGACCTGGGTTCGATTCCAGCCTCAGGCAACTGGAGTTTGAACGTTACAGCACGTTTGTGTCTGTTTCCTCACAGGTGCTCCGGTTTCCTCTGATAGTCCAGTGAGGTGCAGGTTAGCTGGATTGGCTATGCTAAATTGTACACAGAGTCCAGGGATGTGTAGGTTTGGTGGTTAGCCATCGGAAATATAGGGATGGGGTGCGTTTGGCTGGGATGCTCTTCAAAGCTTTGGTATGGAATTTTTAGGCTGATTTTTTTTTTCCTTTATTCATTAACAGAATGAGGATGTCGCTGGCCAGGCAGCATTTATTGCCCATCCCCAATTGCCCAGAGGACAGTTAAGAGTGAACCACATTGCTGTGGGTCTGGAGTCACTTGTAGGCCAGACCAGGTGAGGATGGCAGTTTCCTTCCCTAAAGGACATTAGTGAACCAGATGGGTTTTTCCGACAATCGACATTGGATTCATGGTCATCATTAGATTCCTAATTCCAGATATTTTTATTGAATTCAAATTCCACCGTCTGCCGTGGTTCGAACCCGGGTCCCCAGAGCATTACCTGGGTCTCTGGATTAACAGTCCAGCGATAATACCACTAGGCCATCACCTACACACGATGGCCCCACTGTAGGGATTCTATGATGATGATGTGGGGGCTTCCTCCATTTTTAAGCTAATTCCCCTTACTCTACATTCTCCCATGGAAGGTTAAATATTCGTTGACCCCCTTGGGGTGTGTTTCAGGTCTCGGAGGGGAGCATGTGTCCCCTCGTGCAGTAAAGTGGGGGCCCAACCCCAGAGGCTTCACGCCCCTTTCACCTGTGAGATTTATCCACTAGCCTAAAACACTGGTGGATCCAGGTGGTTGGGGCATGGCAGCGGACACAGTACCCAAAACCCCCCATTACGAACAAAGGCAGGAAGGAAGGATTGAAGGCTCCACATTTTGGGTGGGGGGGTGTTGCCATGCATATATTGAGAGCTCCTTTCTCAAAGATGCACCCCACCCACCTCACCCCTCCCACTCTACCTGTCCTAAAGATCCTAAGCATCTGAAACCCTGTCCCCGCCAGGCTCTAGGATCCCTCTCCACCCCAAATCATTGGGACCCCCCCTGTCCCCCTCCCCCTCCACCAGGGATGGTTACCAGAGCTGCCATTTTGCCTTGCGTAAGGACGTTGCCCAAGGGAGGCTGCATTATCGAACCAACATAGTCCACCCACTGAGTGTCATAGCTGCACTCTGGGTTGGGGGGATTCTCTGACATTGAAGGCAATTCAGAGGGAGTTCACTCGACTGATCCTGGGAATGGAGGGACTGTCTTATGAGGAGAGACTGAGTGGGTTGGGCCTGTACTCATTGGAATTTAGAAGAACAAGAGGAGACATTATTGAAACATACAAGATTCTTAGGGGACTCTGACGAAGAGTCATCTAGATTTGAAACATTAGCTTGCTCTCTCTTTCCATGGATGCTGTCTGACCCGCTGTGATTTCCAACATTTTCTTTTTTCATTTTTAGGGGATTTGACAGGGCAGAAGAACAGGGGAGAGGATGTTACTCCTTCTGGGAAACTCTAGGACCAGGGGACATCATCTCAGAATAAGGGGTCTCCCGTTTAAGGCAGAGACGGGGAAAAATTTTTTTTCTCTCAGGGTGGGGGGTTAATCTGTGTAGTTCTTTGCTGTCGAGGCTGGGTCATTGAGTATATTCAAGGCTGAAGCAGACAGATTTTTAAACAGTAAGGGAATCGAGGGTTACGGGGAAAAGGCAGGAGAGTGGAGTTGAGGATTATCAGATCAGGCTTAATCTCATTGAACGACGGAACAAATTTGATGGGCTGAATGGTCCACTTCAGCTCCTATGCCTTTTTGTCTTATGGGGAGATGAGCATTCCCCACCCTCTCAAACCACACCCTGTAAAATCCAGCCCGCCTTCCCACCCTGTCAAGTTCTCGAAAGGATCTTATATGTCTCACTAAGTTCATCTCTCGTTCTTCTAAACTCCAATGGATACAGGTCCTGACTGTCCAAACTTTCCTTATGAACACAGCAGAGAAATAGGCCATTCGGCCCTACCTGTCCAAGCTGGTCTTTATGCACCACTTAAGCTTCACCAAGGTCCCCAGACTGGCCCACAGCTCTATATTTCCTCTAGTCCTTTGCCCCTCATGTGCTTAGCTAGATTCCCTTCCAATGGGTCGACCTCCCAACTAGACCTCGTAGAGTGAAGTCTACACTCTCACCAGTCTCTGGGGAAGGAGCATAACCTTCTTCTGTTGAGTAATGGATGAGGGAGAGGGTTTGGATCCAGTGATAAACCTACCATGGTGGTGTTTTCCTCAGGAATGGAGCGGGGAGTGAAGGAGAATTTGGAAAAGTCTGGATGAATCTCATCCACTGGTTGTATCCCGTACCTCAGCATTTTCGTGACCTCGTCGTTTGTTACCTGCATGGAAATACATGCCCATTAGCAACAGGAAGGCAACTCAAATGGCCTGACGAGAACCTCGATCGCCTGGAGCCTACTCACCTTGCGCACTCGATCCATTCCGATGACGAGAACAAACCAGTATCACATCTTCCAACCTCCATAACCCTCAGATTAGTCACAACTCTGCTACTGTCATCCTGATTCACACACAGTCCCATACACAGTGCTTCACCAAGCTAGATTGGCGCCCAGACAGACAGTGCCTATAATTTCAAAGTCTCACCCTTGTTTTCAAATCCCTCCCTCCCTCCCCATCACTGCAATATCCTGTAGCACTAGCACACTCAGAGAGATCTGTGCCTGTCCGATTCTGGGAGCACCCCCCTCCACTTCTCTCGCTGGGCAACTGAAAGGGCAGGACTGAGGGATACTGCATTTAAAATAAGACATTAATCCAAGGCTCCTTGTTACTTTGAAGCTTCATGTCAGCTAGACCTCCGCTGGAGTATAATGTAAAGCTCTGGGAATCACATTATAGAAAAAGACGCGAATTCATCAGAGAGCGTGCAGAAGTAATTTACAAGAATGATTCCAGGAATAAGAGATTTCAGTGACAATGATACGTTGAAGAAGATGAGATTGTTCTCCTTGAAGACAATACGGTGTACAGCTGGAGGAGCACAGCGGGCCAGGCAGCATCAGAGGAGCAGGAAAGTTGAC